CCTCAGAATGAACATATCAATATGTGGTAATTTTAGTGTATTTATGTAAATGTTAGGTTTATTAAATACACATATTCCGGTTATACTTTTTAACGTGAGACATGTTCAAAATTTTCATAATGTGCTGTTTTACTTTCAAGGGGTTTTTTTTTGTTTTAATTTATTTAGAGTCTAAAATACTTCTCATAGGTGCGGAACGGTGTTTCGAAAGGAGTTGATCGGAAATATCTGTATGTACCCCAAATATTAAAATAGCTACACTATTTTACGTTACACCACTTTATAATTTTAAGTAGAAACCATAAAAAATTAATTGAGTAATTAGTCAAGTTTTTGCAGACTGACACAAAATTGCTCTTGGTTCTTAATTTGCATTAAGAATTTTATAATTTATCCATTAGTTAAAGAATCAAATGAACCCTCAGATGAAAAATTTTATAAAACTATCTTCCACAGAAGGATCTTACATATTTGTGAGTGTATAACGCATTTTAGCAGTTTCCGTAAATATATGATTTCAAATCTCATGTCAAAATTTACTTTAAAGATCATTCTTCGGCAATCTTAGAAGCCTTAAGCAAGGCCCAGCTTATATTTTACTGTTGTCCGCTTTTATGTCGTAGATGGTTTTAATTGTAGATGATTTGTAATAAAAGGTTGGCTAGGGGCTGGGGCCGTTCCCTTTCATCAAATAAAAATACATTTATAACGTAGAAAAACGCACTTGTGAATATTTACCTTCATTTGAATATGAATAACGTCAATGAATGAAGATGTGAAATGAAATAAGATGATCGCTAGCTAGAATTAGTCCCTCAATATTTTAACAATGAACTTAAAAGTTCATATTGTGTTCATCCGGTACAATATAACTAATCGATAAAACTATCGATTCTTTCAAATCGGCTTGTGACTCATTCAGCTATCTTATGTAAGTGTCACATTATAAACCTATGTGATTGGTTCTTAAGCATTTACAGTTTTTTTAGACTTTGGATATGGTGCATTAAAACTACGAGGTTACTTTATCCTTTTTTCTTTCATTACTAGATTATTTATATGTGTTGTAACACTTTCTCAATTGTCCTTACTTATAAATCACGTCGGCCTAAAATTTCCATTTTCACCGTCAGGGTTTTCACTGTTCAAGATAAATGTGCAATGTCCCACTCAGGGATAAGATAGTTGCATAATTCTCCACTAAACTCTCTCAGCGCCACCTCCCTGTCTCCCAACACGTGTTTGCTATCGACTTAACTTTCAAGATATCTCAGTGGCCAAAGACAAAGTATGATGATTACAGAACACCAGCTGAACACCAGCTGATAGCCATTACAAAGGATGTACCACGAGTAGAAAAGGTGTTTAGAAGGTGATCATAGACTTCTGAGATTCGTTGACTTAGGAAATATAAATTATACTTCTCATCCTAAAATCAGAGGGTTTGCTTATGAGTTTAATGTAGGTTACGATTGAGCGCACTGGTGTGTGACATGTTCTTCTTTTGCAGGGGAGATTCAACTAGTTGTTTTCCTCACGGAAAATTAATGGAAATTGGTAACCTTATATGGGATAACAAATATTTAGGGAGTATAGATTCCTCCGTAGAATTTAAGTGATTATTCGACACATATGAAGCTAAATTCGAATTACCAAAAAAAAGAAACTAAAATTAAAGTAAAGAACTGCAAAAAATGATTCTTGGGAATATAATTTTGTAAGTACGGAATCACAGTAGACATGATAACATCGCTACAGGGTTATTACTAATTTATACGGGCACGTGCACAGATAGCCTGTATAATAGAGAGCATCACGCACTATCATGCACGCAATTGGACTCGGAATACTGGAACAACTGGCTCCGGTGTCAAATAGATGTAAAATAAAATCCACCCGTTAACACGACTGAAAAACACACTAAATTTAGCCTATGTTTATAACTAATACAGAAAATCTGCTATTTAAATAATTGTTTGTGTACCGACGTTATAAACTATCTATCACGTACAAGGATTGTATCGGAAGGGTTTGCGTTATACGTTTCTTAAAAATATCCGTTCTTTTTTTGTAACTATACAGTTCTTGGTCAGTTTAAAGTCTGCTTTGTTCAGTTACACTTAAAATATGTCTAATGAAGTACAAACGGTCACTCAAAGACAATTTTCTTTCAATTCATGTTTAAAAATTATATAGTTTCATATTAAAAGGTATTTGTTTGAATTTCCCCCTGAACTATGAAGGTACAACCTTTTCCTGCCAAAATGCAAGACGAATTTGGATATTCACAGATCTTCAATTAAAATACTTTTTTTTTAAATATAACACTTTCCTTTGTATTTTTATGTCCAAAAACGACCTAGAATACACAAGTAAATCTTCACACGGGAAATCGGTTATCTATCCATGTACGTAAGATAACAAAACTTTTAAAATTTTAGGGCATTAAAACCAAATATAACAGTCAACACTGGTTTTGTAATCTAGTAAAATGTATACAAGCGTTTACAAATAAGATCGTCAAGGTAAATAAAATACCAAGATTTTGTTCCTAAAAACTATATTTTCTCAGGTTCAACAAACTTTAAGATCAAGATCACAATTTAAAAAGTAGCATATGCACGTACTTGATCAAATCGTAGCCTTTAACTTTATTGTAGTAACTGAAAGTAATAGTTGAAAGGAAAAGTTGTTTCATATGATCCAAAGCAACCATTGAAACTGTAGATAGAGATCACTACAATCTTCTAGTACAACGGAAAGATGTGGATCGATGAAAGTCAGTTAAGGAAAGCACTTTGCTCTCTAATTGGAGCCTGCACGATAGACTAACACGAAGATTCTCATAACACAACTACATTAAAACAATGTCTGCCAAAACGTTATCCATTAAATACGTTAAGGCAATGCAATGTCACTCTAAGAAAATTCAGATTGTGACATTCTGCTTTATAATTGCAGTCTGCATGACAGTAACACGAAGGTTCTAATTGCATTTCGTTTATACTGTACAACCAACACCTTTCTCACAAAGGCACGTATTTTCAGGTGAGAATGAGTTAATCGTGAATGTTTATTCAATTAAACTTTAAATTTTTTACCTATTATGATAATTTTGTTCTTCAGCCAGGATAATTGATTAAAATCCCAGTAAATAACCCAACACATTTTTAGTCCGATTTTGAAACATCAACACTAATCTCTTTTATAGCTACGTTATTTAAAAATCAATACCACAAGGCAAAATGAATACAGTATTACTAGGAAACCCTACTAGGGAATTCGAGTTAAGAAACTATTAGTATCCAGGATAAATAATGTGAAGTAAATAAATATAGGCATATAGGCCTAATATGGATGCTTATTTGATGATCACTGGTATTTTACCACCACTAAAATTAAAACGCAACCAAAAGTTGATACCTTTGTGGGAGTTTTCTAGTACATTTATATACTTACATGTAAAAAGGCCAGGTCAGTTCTATCCTTCTATTCAAAAATGTTTCAAATATGACATTCAGAAGAGAAATGTTTTCTTCTAACACGGTTAAAATTTTACCCAAATCACGTTAAACCCATTGATTCATATAGCGTTGCGAATAAATAAAACAAATTGTTATCAGCATTTGTTCAAATTATTCCCTTATGTTTGGATATTTAATTACCATTGGTGTTGTTTACTTGTATTGAACACTTGAAACTCGATCAGATTGTTAAATAGGTATTTTTAAGATTGAAATAGAAAAGAAAAATATAAACTGGAATACAAATTGCCACAATACCGGTTGCCAAGGAAGCTAATCATTTCGCAATAACAAAGGAAATAGAGAGAGAAACTTTACCCGATTGTTTGTACTTCTATCGAACCTGTTTGTTGCATTTCTACTTTGTACCTTTCAAAGCAGCTGAATTCAAATGTTTTCTCAAAAGTTACCTCAAGCAAACTTCCTTGAGATAAAGGTTAGATTTCTTATTAAAGTTCAATTATTCGATTTAATTGACTCAACGAATATAAAGTTATCATTTACAAAGATTTTATAAAATTTTGTTCACAAATATTATGACAAATAAGGCATTGGTTGTCCAAAAAACCCCTTTTACACTAAAGAGTTAAGTTGTAGACAAAAAATGGAAATTATTTCATTCACATTTTTATTTCTCATGACATTTTATTTTCTTCCCCGTAGCCTTGGATAGTTTGCGACCTTCAAGAGCTGCACTGTGCTACTTACTACACGTACGTTGTGTATTACAAATTAGCGACATGTCGTATCTCCTGGTGTAGCAAGGATATTTGTTTTTGGTTGTGGGTTGGGTTGTGGCCAATCTATTGTGGTTGTCGTAGAGGTTGATTGGGGTTTTGAGGTGGTTATGGCTGTTGTTGATGTTAAGCAACACTAATACCACTTGCTGAAAGACTAATATCTACTGTAATGTGTATTTTCCTATGCAGACGTGCTACAATTTTACCTACCTTTTACCATACATCCTCTTAATGCTGATGACTAATTCCTAAAGGACTGAAATGTAGTAGAATTGTAGGTACTCTAAGCAGAAAAGCTACTGTTACCCACCTATTACCAACTCCCTATTGATCCAGATTGGAAGCTGTACAGAAGAATAAGGATAAAGAGGATACAAGCTTATGGGACAACCGTATGCTATCAGCTCTGGTATGTTGGGGTGGACAAATACTTGTGACGAACAGGGAAGAGCCTGAATGGTGAGCTTTGTTGCGGAAATTCCTATCGCACATGGTCTTCCTCCACCGTGAGCGTTGTAGTTAATGAGATCGAGGAGGGTAAAGGGGAGTCATTGCCCTAGACACCAACACTAGCACCAGACACCACTTAAATGTACCATTAAATGTTGCCTCTGTATCTAACTTCACTGTGGAAGCTGACTTAAGACGTTAATGTAGTTCCGACGCAGAAATTACCTTTTTCCGTGAAGGACTGAAGTAGTGTTCCTCTCCCTGTTACCAACTCCGCTTGTTCCAGGCCGGCAGCTGAGCACCTCCACCTTGAAAGACTCCAGTCTGCTGTGCCGCCACCTCTCCAAGTCCGCCTCAGAGTTGAGTCGTCGCGGCGACATCCACCTGGAGACGGCGGGGGCAGACGCCTCCACTCCGGGCCCGGGGGCGGCACAGTCCGCCTCCAACGTACACAACCACGTCAGCGTCGTACAGAAGACGCACTACTTCTTCAGCACGCTCAAGGTTAGGCCTCGGAGGTAAACGGATGTCTTGCGGACTAGCCGATAATGTAGACAATGCACTTTGCTGATATAGTATAATAATATTGTATAATACCGAATATGTAGAGTTTGGTTTGAAGTTGAAATGTTCTATATAATTTCTTCTTACTGTATCCATTGGATTACATGTTTACTAAGGTGAAACCCGTCCAAATTGACGGTTTCCCTTGAGATTTCACGCAAATTCAGTAAACTGCAATAGATAGAGTGGTTGAGGTAATTGTTGTGAGTTACCTTGAACATTAAACTTTTCAATGAACGGAGGTAAACATAATGACGACGATTGAGTAGCTTACACAGTTTTGTTGATAAATTTGTTGAATACAATATTTTAAATCCGTTCATCAGCAACAGGTTGCCCAAAAGGTTTGTGGAATATTTAGATTGTTTCATGTTCAGGAGCTAAATAAAAAATATACAGTGTCGTAAAATTGGCATTGACATTGATTATTGTAAACACAACTTTGTCTTATCAGTTTGAACGCATTATTTCTTATGCTGCAAAGGATAACCTTTTGATTACTGTATCAGTTGGATCACAATAACTAACCCTTTTATCTTATTTAAAAATAAATATTCACCATTAAGAAAATGCAAAAGTATTTTCTCATGTATTTACGACTATATCCTCTCTACTATGATTAGCATAATTGATCTGATGAAAGATAAACATTACCTCCAGGTATAAGCCTCCGTGTAATAAGGGACACACGCCAATGAAGGGTAGTTATATCATGTTTACCTTACTTTAGAGATAAACACAGGGTTGTTTGTGGTCTTGGGTTACACAGGCTACAAGTTACAATGATCGACAGAAATGCATGTTGGATAACCGCGTGGTCCGGTCTGCAATCGAATCTCTCATTAGGTATTATACGGATTATTCCGGTTCGAAACCAAATTGTCGCATCTATTTATTTGAAAATAAATCGTTCTTGTAGAAGTATTTTTTATTCACATAGTACTAAAATTAATATAAGGATACCCCAAAATAGAAGTCTGGGTTATATTTTATTTTATAGGATACAGTGTTGGTAAAAAATATAAGGTGGTCCGTTAGAATTTTAATTGTGTTAACTACTAGAGTTGATTTGTTTATAGGTAAACAGTAGACTCCTTTATAACCTGACTGATGTGAAACCCAATCCGTGGTTTGACTAATAAATAGACAGATGATCCAGTGGCAATATTTCGCTAACTACTTCATGAAAAAAGTTACCAGTATTTGCGTGCGCATTGCGATCTCAAAACACTTTTAGGTCGATTTAACCTTATCTAAATATTCTAAAAAGTCCATTTTTTTCTCTCGTGATAAACGCGTGTTACCGATTTACACTCATTGTACGCGTAAAAAACATCCCTATAAAAAACATCATTACAGTAATACGTTTACTATTAAACACACTTGGGTTGAAAACAAAATGATTTAACTCTCACGAATATAATGATCCATCTTGGAATAAAATAAATCAAAAATACGTAAGGAAAATAACGCTAACTACAAAGCCTGCGACGCACCGACAACTATATAACGTATTTAATTTATAGAACTGTTTTACTACTAAGCCAAATCTTACACATTTAGGCCTACTCATCGTGATGGCAAATGTTCAGTCGAAATAATGGAATAACCCCTGAAATAAAATGAAGGAGAAAATTTATTCCAATAAATGTGAGGAACTAAATCACGGGCGAACATCTTATCGAGACATCCCTGACTAGAAGTGGTCTACTGTAGTTAGTTTTTAAGACAACGGACGCAGATTAAACTCTTAGGGTTGCAATTTACTTAATAGAATTACAAGCAGTAGACCAGATTGTAGCGTAGTTGGATCGTCGCAATGTGTACTTGGGAACTAACGAGTTGACAACCTTCAGAAGGTTTTCAGTGAAAAGGTCACAAGTTAAAAACTCAAGGAAATAACAATTTAATATTTCTAAAAGTATATTATTTACTTAGTCTGGCAAATAAATATAAGGGTGTGCTTCAAGTTATCATTATTGATCTATAGAAAATACATCAATTTTACAGACCTACATCAAGGTTCGCAAATATGCTTATATCCAACCCGGTTTTTATGAATGACTAACCCCTACTGTATTAATCAGGAGTGACATTATTCTTGGTAGTGTAAATATTTCAATTTTAAGTAAACCATTAATAGACTTACACGAGTGTTTGTTTGGTTACTAGCAAGCTTATGTATGAAATCAGACATTCTAACGTAGGGAATTTTTACACAGGCAAGGAACGTTTCAAAAACAGTTGTGGTATATTTCATGTTATTAAATATCACAGATATTTCACTACATGACTGCCACTGACAAGGTTTAGCTAGATCTAATGGAACTTCCCCAACTCTGTTGCCGTCATGTTCGATCATGTCTGTTCATGTCCGTTCAAGTCTGTTCTTGTCTGGTCACATTTGATTTAGCTTCCGAACGAAACGCCCTGACGTCAATACAGACATACTGCATTTTTGCTTAAAATATTGAGGTTTACATAAATTACGAAACGTACTGATTCCCATAGTGCTTTTTAAATAATTGAAATACACAATCGTTAACGTACATTATGTCCTTTTTAGTACGTGCCCCCCACCCTCCAATTAGAAGCACATCAACGTCAATTTCATAGAGATCTTTTACTGAAAATGTAAAGTTTTTCGAGTATTATTTATTCACGTGGGAAAAAAGTGGCTTTTTCCGAATTCAGCTTCGCCTTAAAATTAGATGTTTCAAAGCTAGCAAGCTGTGATGAGTGAGGTGAAATAACAAGTTAGCCAGGCTGTATCGCGTGAACATCAGCAACTTTGCTCAGCTATCAGCTGTTGACTGGCTTGATCTTGTAGGGATATCCGCTCTCTCACATCCGTTTAGAAGTTGACTTCGCTTCTACAGTGATGACGTTTGGAATTATATGAAAGGCATCAGAAGTTGAAATACCAACAAACGTAATTTAAAACATTTATACCAGCGACCACAGAATTAAAAACCGATTGTCATAAACACAGGAATTTTCTCTACAAAAAGGGGACTTTTGTAAATGCTCCCATCCACCTCTGGTTAACAGGTTCAGTTCAGCCGTCACACACTTCTGTATGTAACGTGTCTCACCGCTTGGGAGTGAGTGTTACATTCTTTTAAATGGAAAATTGGAAAGTAAAACAAAGATTGTAAGTGGTTTCCTAGGAAACAAAAAATAAATCAGTTTGTAAATTATCCTCATTGCACCAGGAGCAAAAATTCGACAATCTTCTTCAAACAAATTTTAGCAAATTTCGTAATAATTGTTTATCATGGATAAAGCAGGAAAAGCTGGGTTGAAGAATACCACGACAAACTTGGTACCCAAGCCCACCAGGATGCCTTATATAAACTTTGTGCAAGCATTTCGCAACTCGCACCTGGGGGAGTTCAGTCCCAAGGAGATGATAAGGGAGGCGGCTGCGGCGTGGAGGTCTCTCAGCGACAGTGATAAGAAGCCGTTTGTGGATCTGGCTGCCAAACAGCCGCGTCAGAAGAAAGTCAAGCGGCTTAGAAGACGCAGAACTGACAGTGAATACTCCTACTACTAGTGCCTTGGTGATTTTGTGTAAATTCTATGTGAATGTATGTGTGACTTGTTGAAGCTAAATTAAAAATATTTCTTCTTTCATGTAATCATTTGTGAGTTTACTTTTCATTTGAACCTACTTTTGTGCAAGCTAACAGGTATTTCTTATGGTAAAGTACTTTATGACTGTGATAATGTTTACTAGTTCGGGAAACTGTAAAAAGAATAGGTAAAATCCATGATAAATCCTGGGGTGACATGGGTTCAAAAAGGTTGTAAAGGAACAAGCGGACAATTCCCTACTCTCCGGCGAAACGAGCATTACAGAACATTACAGTGGATATTTATAGGCATGCACTGTGGATGCGTTACTCCCTGGTGTGGATTAACGTCCAAACGAGTGAGTACTACGACTATCCGCAGTACTGTCCTGAAAATGAGACCAATTCGTATATACCAAGGCAAAAACTCCAGTTAGAGAGTACCGTTTTGAATTTTGTTAAAACAATTATCATCTGTTTAATGTATTGTTGCCTGCAAACATTGTGTTTTAGTCTATGGTTTAAGTATATGAAATATAATTTAAAAATACATTTGTTCGTATTGTATTTGATTTAATTTCGAAATGCTGGGCTAGCTAATCATTAGTATAGTTGGTAATATCTTTAATAAAAGCAAATTTATTTATGTGGAAAAGTTAACCTATGAAATTCAAATAAAAACAAAACATTACCTATGTTTTTGTAAAATTCCTAAATCTAATTTTTTTTATTAGTCTAAAGTGATACCGTTAGGGTTTGAGATTTGATAATACAGTTATTACTACAGTTTATTTTGTTTTCTGAGTGAGCTTAAGTGCAGCTGTAGAAACGTTAAATTTCATTTACTGTGTATTTTCAAGTGTACACTATTTTTTATGTAAATCAGATAGCAATACTTTTTTGAATTAAACATGAGTAAGGGACGTTTTGATTAAAAAAATATTAAATGCCGTTTATTAATATGAAACTTTTATTCTACTACTGAACAAGTATAATCCGCTCTCTATAAGCCTATTTGTTGGAGATAGAGCATATGAAATCTGTATAATCATTTTACTGCAAGACTCGAAAAAACGCAAGCAAGGAACAACGATTGCAAACTATAAAGTTCTACACCTCTAGAAACCTATCACACTATATTTTACCTGAAAACATAAAATTTCAAAGGTATCCAAATAGCTGCACATAGAGAGCGAGGCAAACAGTAGGGGAATGCAACACGTTTTTCCCTGATCGTACTAATGGTAAATTCTCCTTTGCACTGGAATTGGTGAGCATTCGGTGTTTTAGTTTTATGTCTGTTTGGATTTTAAGGAAACGCGTTTATTTACACACGTAATTGAATACTAAATTAACTGCATCAAGAATAGTTTGCGCTGCAAGAGCTATGTTAGAAAATACAATTATTTTAAATAGTATTTTAATGGTCAGTCTCCTGCTTTGCAGAGTTATCATTATTGAAAAAAATATTGTTGAAAATCATCCGAAAAGTAGCATTAATTAATTGGTTGTAAAAGGTAAAACAACTATATATACTTTCCCGCTCTAGTTTTGCCATACTATATACTCTCCAGAGATTTTCAACTCAAAACGCAATGCAGTAAGCATATGCAACAGCTATGTGAAGCATGTACTCGTAAAACAGTTGGCAACACTGGCTGTAAATAATTGTACATCAGCTGTTGTAGTGTTGTGGTTGGCAACCGTGAATACGACTTCGTAAAACATTTGGCTGTTGTTGTAGGCCTATTGATGGTTGAGTAGTAAAATAGTGTGTTTTACTTTAGTTAGCTGTGTTGCCAGCTTAGTGGTTATCGTATCGGACTTTATGTGGGGGGAAAGGGTTCGACTCCTGTGGTATCCAGAAAACGTGGGGGATTTGCACGGATTTCATTTGAAAGGATCTTAAGATTGTTAATGCAAATGCCCCTGGTGTAGAGTTAAAAAGAATAAAATTAATGAGAGTGTTGTATCAGTAATTAACATTGTTTGTTGAAAATAGCTAAGATAATTTCGTAAATCGATAATGTACTCCCACACAAAAAACATGCAAAACATGCAAAGTAAGTAGCAAAAATTTGTATCCGTGTTGTTTTACAGGTACACGACCTAGCCTAGCTATTACGTGCAAACTAGTATGTGCATTAGACAGAAAACTGAATTACTCCATAGTAAATAAATACTTAAAAAAACTAGGCAAAAAGTAATAAAATATTAACAAATGCAAGTGGAGGTTCCCCTTAGCCTCCATAGGTTACCTGTGGAGGCCAGGGGTGCAGATAAAATCGTTGATCACGGTCATGCTCTGCTATACTTTAGTTTATAGGTTTATGTTTGCCAAGGACAAGAGGGTTGAACAATCATCATTTGTATAAAACCTATCTGTGTTTGGCAGGATAGATCTGGGGATCTCGGGGACTAAAGACCTACTCTACCACTACTAGCTCACTCCCGATATAGCTTGAAGGTATAATAACGCAATGTGTAACATTTTTTCAAGAAACCCCCCTTCTTGAAATCGCCCTCATTTAATTTCACAACAGGTGACTCCTTCACCTTCCCCAAGACCTTGTGCCTGACCTGTGTTAACACCCTGTTGTAGGAGAGATGGTCCCGTGGTCGCAGCAGGGAGCGGAGGCGGCGGCGCGACGTGGGGGCGGCGGGTGGCTCGGGGGCGGTAGAGGAGAGCCACAGTACCGACTACGCCGCCGACAACAGCAGCGAACACAGCAGCTCTGTGACGCCTCTCACACAGTCTCCGAGACATCGACATCTCGGGTCTCCGCCTCCGGGTGAGTTGTCTTCTTCACATCCTAGGACGCTAGGGTCTAACTACTTCAGGCTAGAGCTAGAGGTAGTCCATTGTGGAGTTGTCATATAAGTAAGATTGGATAGATTTAAACCCAAGACCTCTGAGACCAAAGCCTCGCAATAGACCATCACGTATCGAAGACAGTGTTTTTATCTCCACCTAAGTTTCTTATGTTTTTCACATTTTTGGAAGCTAGGATTTAATACGGAATCGTTTTACGTGTAAAGTAAGGCATTATGGATGCCATACTAAATTATACATCTCATCTATGTTGTAACCAATCTTCTTTTCAAAAAGAACATAGTATAATAAGTCTACAGAGTAAACTACTTTCTAAAACAATATTTTCATTCTAAATAAAGTAACCCTTAGTTACTGTGCTAGCAACTAGTTACTCAGATTGAACCATAAGGCCTAAAAGATCGTATATAAAGACCTTAACACGGTTGAACCTAAGAAACCAAACTACTAGTAAACTACTGCAACAATGAATTACGATGCACAGGTATTAAAACAAATTTGTATACATAAAAATTTAGAGAGGAAACAACATTTGTAAATTCAGTTTGGCGAAACAATTATGAAAGAACAAAACAGTTTGTGAAGCTTACGTTTAATACTGAAGTACTCATTCCGTCTGAATGGACCAGCTGAAGCCAACCTTTTTCTCAAAGAGAACATTAAACTAAGCTCTTACAGTATGTGCTTTCATTGATGTTATATTTTCCGTAATTAATTTTGTAAGCTAATTAGTTTTGGTCGTAAGTCCATAAAGCTGTAACTTTGCATTTGGTAACGAACTAAGAAAATACACAACTATTTTGATTTTCACAACTGAAACAAATGAAATCCGAAATGTAGAAGTAAAATGTTTAGTTTTTAAAATAAAAATGGTGAACAAACTTATGATTTCAAAGAGAACTGTAAGAGTTAACTTGTTTCTCTGTTGTTTGAGAACTTGAGACCCTTAAGTTTAAATTAAATTAAGAGTTACATATGACATAAAGACTTCTAATTAAAGTTGCAAATCAAATTTACTGTACATTCCTGTAGCAAACACCTTTGAAACTGCTCCCTGTTAAAAATGTATGTCCCTAGGAGAGTTAAGGATTTCCAGCACTTTCGACTTTCTTTGAATCCATTATTCATCTTCCTGACTTTGTTTTCCCAACTAGTGTCTCTTCAACTTCGACTTTGAAATCAAAGTGTTTTGTCTCCTGGTGGAGTATGTTTTTCACCTCCTAAACGTTGTTTATTTTGTATAAGAAATAATCGACGATTTAATATTTCTATTGACAGTGGTAAAAACCTACTTCAAAGTTTGATAATGTGTACTTTTATTTTGTTAACTGATTATTAATCAACTGCTACAAAATAAGATTAGAACCAGTTTTTAATTTTTATGCCTGTTTATTTTTTTATTTGATTTTTAAATTCTTAAATCAAAGTAGTTTAAAATTGTAATCTATATATACTTATTAGTTGCATATTTTAGGGGCAGATTTTATTTCTCTAGCTAATTAAATTCCTAAAATTATATACTAGGTCGTAAATATGTTAGGCCACGTTCAAATAACCTGAGACGTTTAAAAACTTGATCAATTACAGTTATTAATATAATCATAGAGCAAGCAACTAAGGGGTTTATCTATGATATAATCTTGATTGTTGCTCTAATATTCACAACAAAGGCTGCTACAATTCTTATCTGGCGCCACTTAAGACATAAAAACCGACAGAGACATGGTTTGTTCCAGTTTTCTTATGCCGAAATAAAAAAAAACTTAAAACTGTATTAATTCCTTTTTATTATTGCAATACATCCAAACATATTCACTTAATCGGTATGGCAATATCCAACTGAACGTAATATTCAAAACTGCAGTAGTAGAACATAACATAACCTCATTCAATGCAGCTGTTTCCACCATTGTGTTATTTGTAGACCTTTACACTGACTGTACTCCATCGACTTGTGGTGGAATTGCTTCATTGCAAATGTGGTGAGAAGTCACTTAGATAAAACGTACATGTTTTAATAGTACTGCTAACATATTTATTTTGTTTTTAATTTTAAATTTGCGATATTGCTTGTGTTTATTAGTAAATTTAATACGCGTTCTGTGGGATTGAAACGTAACTTTATTTTGCGTTATACTCCATAAAACAACTTATGAAAGTGCCAAGGAGATAAAATAGTTGTTTACCAACTTTAAGAAGAGCCAGCTGGAAACGAAAAACCTTATTCGCTTTGTTAACCAAATTCGATGTTAAAATAGGTCCAGTTTAAAGTTATACTAGTGTACCTGTTGCTCGAATTCGAGCAATTGCGAAGCATTACAGGCGACTCAAAGATTATGGAAAAACTCACGATCTACACAACAGTTAGATATAATCAAAATCTTTTGTAAATATCTTATCTTTTTTCAAAAAGCTGATCTTGTATTTTTAGTGTTTTTAGTGTAAAAAAAAAACATTATTTCTATTTCTTTTACTTGGTTGTGTTCTATGACTTTTTCTATGTTTCCATTGTTTGCAAATTGGTTATTTAAATGATTGCTCAAGAAATGTAGCACAGTGTTAATTCAGTTTTATTTTTAGCCTATATCAAATTGTCCAGGATTTCTCGCTCTTTTCCATTGTAATAAATACACCAACCCAAGTTTTGTCTACAGATGCAATATGCCAAAGAATATCACCTACGTACAATCTCCAAGAAGTGGTAAAAACGGCAGAAACCAACCAATACAATAGATATAAGTTAACTCCATAAGAAATAATTTTAAGAGTTACTGTGATATTAGGATTTTCCACTGATTTGGTAATAGAACATTATATTGCAAAACATGACACGATGCAGAAGAAAATCAATTTTAAAATCAGAAAAATCCATTGCAAATACTGTACTTCATTTTGACAAATTCAATAAATCACAATTTGAATATTAACAGCTGTTGCATTAGAAAGTAGTGTAGAATTATGCATATGGTAATGTAAACAAATCTGAAGAGGCAACTTTAAAGGCTTCTGGGGCAGAGCCCCAAAGGTATTTACCTCTTTCCTCTTTTGATGGCTCATCTACAGACCAAGACCTTTCTTTAGAGACCCCTACTAAGTTTCTACGCCCAGCCGTTCTTTCAAATTAGCTGTGACAAAAACCCCGTTTTCCTCCATAAGAATAACATGGGATGGGAATTTAAAGGCCACGGGGGCAGAGCCCCAAGGGAAATCACCATGTTTCTCTTTTGATTGCTCATCTACAGAACAACACCTTTCTTTAGACACCCCTACCGAGTTTCTACGCCCAGCCGTTCTCTCAAAATAGCTGTGACAAAGAAAAACAGTTTCAAATTAATATATAGATAATCGTATTACTATTCGAATTTTTTTTTACATTTTTTTATAATGCACTAACTAAAATAAATCTATCTCTATAATTGTTTGGAATTTGATGTTTATACATTTCTATACTTTGATCACAAATCTTTTATTGGTTGGCGAAGTAATATCATATGTGTTTTTCTGCCTTCGAACGACCGAGAAGATTAAATTATTGTTCATATCGATAGTAATAACTTCTAAATTATCTTTAATCGAGGTGCAGTACGACTAAGTATGTAGTTCATCATACGGGACAAGTGTTAGACTATTTCTCAAATTCATAACTCGTCTTAGACTTTATCATTATAGTTGAGCTTGACAGTCAAGTTTAGGGGAAACCATAATCTTTGACCACCCAGAAGAATATGACCCTTTTATCTAGGTTTACTGCAAGTAAATGTCAAGCGTTAAATTTACCAGCTAACCCACATACCCACTATAAAAAACTATTATCATAATTTATTTTATTCCCCATTCTCAATATATCTAGGATTTTAATTTTCGTATAACAGTACTTTTAATGTTAAAGTTCCCTTTTAGCGAATTTCCCATATAGGGAATAAGCTATTACCGTAGTACTCATGGTAAGACCTGGACCCGGGACCGATTTTTTTTCGTTTTGAGGTCCCTAGAGGCCAAAAACACCATCCGTTCAAATTCATATCTATATATATATATATATATATATATATATATATATATGTGTGTGTGTGTGTGTCCGTTAGCGCGATAACTCGAGCAAAAATGATCCGATTTTGATGAAATTTGGTACAAACGTGTAAACCTACGTTTATTCGAACGAGTTCGCGAACCAGCATGATCGGACCATGGGAACGGGGGTTTATGGGGGCTTTTATGGAGTAAAAATGGGTTTTTCCCATTTTTGACCCAAAAACATAAAATTTTGCAATTTCTTTCTAAACTATTTTGTAGAGCTTAAAAAAAACAAATAATTTAGTATATTGAAGCGTTAGAATGCGCCTAATAGTCACGGAGAAAATTCCAAAAAATTGTAAATTTCAAATTTCCATGTTATTCTTATGGAGAATAAGTAAACTGTTGTAGTTTGCTTATTTATTAACATATTTTGCCCAAATTTGGAAAATGTTTTTATTACTTACCAACTATTAACATTTTACATAAATAACACTTTTACCCTCCCTGTTGCAGCAAACCTAAGTATGTTTTAAACTGATTCTTTTTAAATAGGGAATAAATGTGATATTTTTAAGGAGACATTTTAGTGTAAATCCATTCAGGGAAATGGAAATTCGCTTAGTCTGCAGGTTTGCTGCGGCGGGGGTATTTATCAAATAAGTGAGGGATTGGGTAACCTAGAATGAATAACAAACCCCTTTTGCGGGCTTTATGCGTTTTTAGAGTATACGCTGTATGTATTTATATTTATACATAGGCCTTGTGGTAAAACATTGATATTTTTGTAGATTTAGGGTATAAAAACTCCAAGGTGTATTTTGCTAATAGTTGAAATAGAAATCAACTCCCATAACGAAACTCAAGGTTATTTTGTAGATCTTTCAATATTTCTTATCCTAGTTTAATTTTGTTTGGGGCCAGTTGAGTGTTTAAAAAGGAAAT